TTTAAAATAATATCTTTGTGATGGACAGTCTAACAAAGTAGTTTATAGGTTAAAACCTCACGCCTATAACCACATAAATAAAAGCCTAACAAGTAAAACCACGTGGTGTAGCAATCGTTGCTAAACTAAATACCATGTCTTTCTTTTAACACACATTACAGACGAAGCATTTTTTTACTAAGATTTTTTTTAGTTTAAATATAGTTTTTTTAAGGGGGCAAAATCATCGATTCTTACTGACTAAAAACCACCCTATACCTACTCCTGCACTTCGAGCCGGAGCCCCGGTTACCCGTTGGGTTCTCCGCGGCAGTTTAAATATAGTTAAGATGCTGAAAGAGTGTAATACAAGCCAAGCCATTTTTTTCTTTAACTACGTTGATGAAACCGTGGGTTGAGCTACTCATATCATAACGTTATTTGGTGGATAAAACCGATGTTAAGCTCGTTTCGTTTACGACAAATTCAGTCGTATAGGTTGTGCGACTTGTTAGCCTGTTACTATACATAATACTGTTAATGGATAACCTGTCTAGACAGTACGTATTTAAGGACTAAATAGATAAAAATGACTGCCTCATTGGCCGAGTGGTCGCAGGTGCGACTGTCAGGCAAGGGGTCTCGGGTTAGATTCCCGGGGCGGGCAAAGTATTGCTAGGTTTGTAAAAACCTCAGTAGTAACACGTAGTCTGGAAATGTGCCCTGTATATGGCAATAGGCTCACCCCCTATTACATGGGACTCATAACATAAATAGAGAAAAGTGGGTGTTACATTGTACAGTGGCATTAAGTGCCGTAATGTGCACCTCTGCCTACCCCTTAGGGGATAAAAGGCGTGATGTTATGTTATGTCATAGATAAAAATAGGTGTAACGAAGACATACTGAAACTTTAGGTTTGATACTATACATAGTATATAATTTAATACTATACATAGATTCACTACATCAGATCACATTAACAGCCTATAAGAGGCCATTGCTGATCAAAGGCCTCTTCTTACACGGAGAAGGTTTGAGCATTAAAGACCACGCTTGCTGAATACGGGTTGGCGATTCTAAACTTATAATTAAAAATTATAAGTCTAGGTTTCCTCGCGATGTTTTCCTTTACCGTTTGTCGATGGTGTCTAAATGATTTAAGAAAGTAGGTGTTACTCGGAAAAGTCACATACTTTTTTATGGGACAAGCCGTTAAATAAGCAGATGGATCACCTGATGGTAAGCAATCGGCGTTACAAGCACAAGAGGCGTTACAAATGCTTCACGGGCCTCTTGGGTATTAGGAATTTGAGGATTGATGGGACTTCAGGAATTGGGGAGATTGGGGCATGGGGGGGGGGATAATTGGACCTCAGACAACTTCACTGACACAACGCAAGCGCTGTTTCACGTCGGTTTTCTGTGTGACCGTGGCATCACTCCGGTCGAGACGACCCATTCGTGGCTTACTGATACTTTCGAAGATGGACTCTCCCACACTTGTAATTACGGTTGATAGGTTTTAAGCCTGCACTCACAATGTTATGCATTTCTAATTATTATCAAAGAGGTAAGCAGAGGCGCTCGTATTATAGTAGTGTGCAACATCCACTTTTCACCAATTGAGTTTTACACAATTCCAAACTTCTTACTTCTGCTGAGGATCATTCGATTTCGAGTAATTGTGGAGCCGGTATTTCGAAATTCTAACAAATATTTCAAAATTCATCATGGGGGTTGAAAGTACATAATTTACGTATTTTAAAATATATTTTCACTATCTGTTTTGAACCAGCATTTGCACTAGTAAGACTGCAGTGATCGTGGCATAGTTTCTGTAGCGACCTATTTTGCTATTGAAAAATATGTCACTAGGACTTTGAAATAGGACCATTCTTTTATTTAGGTGACGTCACAGAAACACATTATTATTATAGCTGTGTGTGTGGGGTCACTCAATTTATTAAATATGTGTGATAATATGCTTCGCTATACCTTTCTATAATATATGTTATAGCTAGGTCTGTGACGACTTTTAGTTTGTCCAAAAATTATCAATTAGCCTTAAACCTGGAGAAAGTTTGCACGTTCCTTCTTTATAAGAGAAGAGGCCTTAGTGAAGTTTTACACTAAGCGTACACTACAATTAACTTACCCGACTTTTTACCCTCATAGAATGTCACTTGAAAACTATTACAGTTAGCAAGCATAGTATAATTTTAGGGTGTTGCTAATAAATTGACTGAAGGAACATTTGTATTGAACAGTTATTATAAAATTACCCATGGTCAGTTCAAACGAGAAATTTTATAGAACTTGTAACATTATTTGGTAAATTGCAGTTGGAAACTTTCTTTCTTTTTGTACGATATTTTCCTTAACCAGTCAATCAATCTTAGAACGTACATATAAGTCCGAAAAAGTCACATTGGTACTGGTCATTATATGAAACCCACATGAGGATGTATGCACGAGAAGCGGGATTATTAAATCTCCTGGCCACCACGACACACCAAGGGTTACTAGACAGTAAACACAGACGCAGACATTTTGAAAAAAGAACGAGTACAGTCGCCCCACGAATCGATTTTGTCGCGAGACAGAATTGGGTACAGACGCACGTAATGTTATCCCGATCTCTCAAAATTTGCTAATACATTTTAAACTTTATACTAACGTGTTACGGCTGGGAGATGTTTGATAGGCTGTGATAGGTTGATGTGATGTTTGTGTCAGTGCATACATTTGTTCATATTCGAAATTCTCTATTTAAATGGATTACGTTTTCATTGAATATTTAAGTGCTAGTCTGGGGGAAATGCGTCCATGCTTTACTTCTATCTTCGATTAATAGAGTTGATCGAAAACTTTGATGGTTATTTATCTGTTGTAAAACTTTCTTTGATTTCTCTCAGGTTGGGTCCTGTGTCGTAATAACTGTGAATATTTTTCTAAAATATCAGTAACAAGTCTGTTATTGTTGGCTGAGTGGTCGCAAGTCCGACTGCCGAGCAAGGGGTCTCGGGTTCGATTCCCAGGTCGGGCAAAATATTACTTGGTTTTTTAAGAAAAGTCAATAGTAGTACGGAGTCTGGAATTATATCCGATTTAGTGCAATAGGCTTACCACCTATTACATGGGACTCAGAACGTAAATAGTAAAAAGTGGATGTTACTTTGTTCCACTGAACATGAGAGGTGATATACCCCTTCGGGAATAAAAGGCATGATGTTATTAAGTCTGTAATCGTGCTCAGTATATTTATAACACAACAAATACGAAGGGAATGTTATTATGTTATTTTGTACCTCGGCTATGAAGCGTTAAAACGTGTGACATTATATCGTGTAAATAAAATGATATACAATTACATCACAACATACTTAATCGACATACCCTGATTTGAATACACTCTAAGGAAAAGCCTTTACGTACGATAAAAAAAATAATAATAACAAGACCCTTAAAAGGTCGTTGTACCAACATTATAAGATACACACATCGACAAACAATTCGAATGGGTATTTGAATAAATCTTCGTATATTTGTTATATATCCCTATTTTAATATTGTGAATGAGAAAGTAAGTATTTGTTTGTCTTCCCTTGCAAGTGATTTATTAAGCCAAGCTTAGGTAAAGTGTTTATTTATATTACACTTAAGGTTTCTTACATATTACCCGATTGTATGGCGCGTCGCGTTTTTCGCGAGCCTCAAAGAGCCTACAGACCACTACAGCTGATGGGGTCAAATAGGGATGACACTCCCTCTAGGCTGACCTGGGCGGGAGAAGTCATTAGAATCATGTCCCTCAAAAAAAAACGGTTTCAAAAATCATCGAACGTCTACTCCCGCCTGGGTGAGGCGGGAGCTAGTGTCAGACTCTTACTTACTAAAAACTACCCCGTTCCTTCTCCTGCGCTTCGAGCCGGAGCCCCGGTAACCCGTTAGGTTCTCCGCTACATGAAAAGACGCTAGTGGCTCCGTCTCTTAAGGCCCAAGAGTATTTAACTTAAATATTATAAAATCAAATACTATTAACTTTCTTTCGACTCACGATTACAAATCCGTCGTACTTATTCTTTAGTCAATATTTAATACATTGCAAAGGGCTCTTCTTTCAGTTTTTATCAATAATTTCCTTTTTTCAATATTTTATGTCAATATAATAAATTTCTTTTGTAGTCCCTTTAAGAATATTGGCGACAGCCCCAGGCTTCGTAACTATGAGGAATATATATTTGATAGTAGACTATTAAACTATAATATTATCATATTTGCTGAGGACGTAATATTCAAAATTAATTCTTTTATTTATCGACTGCAAACAGAGGAGGTTTTTAATTCTATTGATTTAGATGTATTTCTACTATGTCCGAACTGCTTTTGTAAAATGAAATAGTAGAATGCAGTCAGAATTGTTAAATCAGTAAAAAAAAATATATATCAACCAAGTACTCAATTATATTTATTTAATAAAAAGGTAATTAGAAATCATACCGCCTTCCAATTTTAAAGTCAAAGCATTTATTTTGATTAAACCATAATTTGGTACTTTTGAAACGTCAACAATTACAAAATAAATAGTCTGTCAGTCAGTCCGTCAGTGAAGCTAGGTGAAGCTAGGTAATTTAACGTTAACCAACAAATTAAACAAATAATTTGACTGCTGAATCTTATACTTTTATTTATTAGTGTAATGTAATTAATGATAGTTAGTTATTTATCACGATTAAACAATTTTTGATTTCTTACATCTCTATTTCTTTTGCTTGTGATATTCAAGTAAAGGTTCGTCGTCAGCTTTTAACTGGTATTGATGATAACTCTCTTCCTAATGAACATAAATAATTATAAACATCGTTTTTCACTAGGCATTTTTTACTTGAGATTGTTTTTTCTATTATTAAACATACATTTACGTCTAATTGATCTACCTACCTTTTCTTACTGTCCTTCTTTTAAACCATATTATTTTGTCTTATTTTTTTTATTTTAGCTAATATTTTTTTTCTCAGCTCGGCTGGAACGAGAGGAGCGGATTGAGCAGCTCTTAGGTAGTATGAGAGACCACCTCGATTACCTTGACTCCCAGTACAGGGGCAAGCAAGAAGCGGTATTGGCGCTACAGGTAATTTGAACTTTATTCTTTACTTTTTACAGATACTTTATTATTGGCAAGATAGTTTATTGCATTCATTACCCCACAATTCACGACCCATGACTCGATTAATGAGATATGGTGATCATCATTTATTGAATCTATAAACAAAGTATATATTAATAAAGTGTCGCCTTTGAAGCTACGAAGGAATAGCCAAGGGACGATATACATATAGTCATATATAACGTAACATTCGAGTCACAATGGAAGTTATCCAATAGCCTAATACCAAGCACAATTTCAGGCTACGTACTACTTCTTTTTTCTTTACCTAGTATCGTTTGCTGACTCGAAAAAAGAGACAGCTGTTCACGAAATTCTATAAAAGGGCAAAAGAAATTAGCATCTAAATGCAATGTTGGCTCAATTAAATAAGTAATCACTTAATTTACTACTTGACTGCACAGTTTGTTTGGTGGCGATGTGTATGTGAACTTATATGTTTGTAAACGCGCCCATTACAGAGGAGACAAACCTAGTGTTGGGTAATGCTTTTTCAAAAAAAAACAAAAGAAAGCTTTACACGAAATCTAAAGTCACATTTATCATTCCGATTCTAAAATCTAAGCTAATCGAGCCAGGTTCAGTAAGTGATATAACTGAATTAGTGTTGGCGAGACGACTGAAACTCAATTATGACTGCAGCAGAAGTTTTCAGTTCAAAAATCTACTATAAAGCTCATAGCAGCCGAAGGTTCGACTCCTGAATTTGGTTATTTGTAGGTGTTTAGTGCATATGTTTGACATTCAGCCTTTGCCTCGGCATTACTCAGGAGAACATCATTTTAATACAAAATGTCGACTACCCTTTTAATCTTCAAAGGGGTAAGCAAAGATGTACGTATATAAAATCTCCATTTTTCACCAGTAATGTTATGAATCCAATGTAAAGGTGGTAAACCAATTGTCACAACCTGAACACAAGCCTATCGCCATTCATACATATATAATTCCAAAAAATGTTGAATTGACTATCACGATGATGGAATGGCCACAAGTGTCACTACCGAATTATAAGATTTCGGGTTCGATTCCTGAAATATTAAAAAAATCCTCAGTATTATAATGATAGTACAGGTAGGTTAGGCGTCATATGTGTTTAATATGTCAATGTTTCTTGTACAGGCGAAGATGTTTTCCGGCCGTGGTAACAGTTCCCAAAATGCTCATGAGTTCTCTTTGGCATCATTGTCGCCATCAGTCCAAATACTACTAAAGAACATGACAGGTAATTATGACGTCTATTTTCTTGTGTACAAGGTTCTAATTTCTGATTAACAAACAATTTGAACTTTTACGATTCACTAAAATGATTTTGACTTTTTTGAAATTGTATGTACTGTGTGAACTGTGTTATTTGGAACTGCAATTTGAAAAAAGTCGTTGATAATTTTAAGTTACTGTGACAGCAATTACATTTCACGAGTTTTTAAATTTACATTTTTTTTATTATGCTCCAATTTTACGGTTATCTAGAGGTTATTAGTACCTGATGAAGATAGAGTGTAGTTTTTGTAATTAATTTTCCTAGAAATCGCTATTATTTCTATTGGTTTTCTTTGCGTTTATAGTGGTCTTTTAGAATGGGTTGATATTTAAATAGGAATAGTAGGATAGACCTTAGAAGAGTTAGAACGTAATCAATAGCAGCACCAATTTTATAAAAGTTTGACAGGAGTTATCACTCCGGTTATCCTCCAATTATCCTCTCCCCTCTTCCTCAATCTCCCCAATCCCTGAATTCCCAACAAACCTCATATTCCTAATCCCCAAAAGACCGGTAACGCACTTGTAACTCTCTCTCTCTCTTCTCTGGTGTTCCGGGTGTCCATGGGCGACACCAATAGCTTACCATCAGGTGACCCGTCTGCTCGTTCACTTACAATATAAAAATCTTACCACATAAAAAAATCTACAAACCTTAGTAGCTCCATTATATAACAGCGGCATCAAAACGTGATATTATAGTTACTAAATACTTTTTGTTATTCGCCACAGAATACCTGAGTACCTTAACAAAGCACTCAGAATGGATAAAAGTATTTGATTTATTATCATTCCCATTTGAGTATTTTCTAGAAAAAAAGTTGAAATGGATTCAAACTAAAAGGTACGCAAACATCTTAACAATTCCAAGGATATTTGATATTTCTTTAACAATTTTATATTGAAAAAATTAAAAGCTTCGCCTTTGTTAGTGGGTTCCATGAAATGCTTCGAGGAAATTTCATTTTTACAATAATGATTGTTAAAAAAATATTACTTCTTTATTTAAATTTCGAATGAACTTATAAAATAATTTTAACATGACCAACTTCCAGTTGGCTACGTGAAGCGCGCCGCGTCGGTTGTCACGCGTGTTGCTCATGTTTATGGCCCCCGCGTGGTTTGAAATTAGTCGAGTAACATTGTAACATAAACTGTTACTGATACCTAATTAATTCACGTAAAAGGACGTTTCGTTTGTTAAAATGTAAATTAACCTACATTAATTGTACTAATTAAATTAAATAATTCTGCTTTCGCTAGCTATTCGTCTACTTTTCGCTGGCTATTCTTTATTTTTTACTGAGTTCGAGTCTCTGTTCAGTTTATAGCTGAAATTTACATCAGCCTAGACACATCTGACCTAGATTTAATATTTATTCTGACTTTTAAGCGATGTATGTTGAAGATGTACCGTTTTGATCAGGATTGATAGTAAGTACAAAGCGACTGTAATGTACAGTATAACTTATAGCTCTTAAGTTATTTGTTTAAAGTCATATTGTAAGTACGTTTACAATTATTTTTATTGGCCCATAGACAAAACGTATGAAGGGTTAGAAGGGTTAGAGCTCTGCTGCACCAACTTTTGCCCAGTTATGTTATGAGTCACTTAAATAGGGATGAGGCTTTGTGCCATACACCATGCTAATACATACATACATAACCTCACGCCTGTATCCACTGGGAGTAGGCTATCCGTGATATTACTAAAATAATTTTTCCCTTTACGCATACACTATGCACAAATCACATCTATACTTTATGTAAGTCGCGCAGACACTAACGGGTTGCCGGGGCTCCGGCTCGACATGCAGGAGAAGGAACGGGGTGGTTTTTAGTCAATAAGAGTCTGACACTCCCTCCCGCCTCACCCAGGCGGAAGTAGTCATTCAATGATTTTCCCACTTAAAAAAATACTTTATACACTAGCTGTATCCCATGGAAGCACTTAATTGGAACAAAAAGTATCCTATCACCTAAGTCAGACCATACATCAACATGAATAGTCATGTAACGTTCCGTTACACCTTGTCTGTATACCACATCTTATCAAAATCCGTTCAGCAGTTTCAGCGTGATTGACATACAAACAAAGAAACTTTCACGTTTATAATCTTATATCTTATACTATTATTTATAAAGTGGAAGAGTTTGTTTTTTTGTTTGTTTGTTTTATTGTTTGAACGCGCTAATCTCAGTAACTACAAGTCTGATTTGAATAATTCTTTTTGTGTTGAATAGCGCATTTATCGAGGATGGCTATAGGCTATAAAATATCACGCTACAACCAATAGGAGCTGAGCAGAGCGTGTGCAACCGCGCGGAATTAGTATGATTAGAGTACTTGTAGAAGAACTCAAAAGCGACTTAAATACATTTTTAACAATAGCAAAGCAATTTTTGGCTGCGCGTCAGAATAAGCATAGATTAGGTTAATGTAAGATTATTTTAATAAATTTATCAACTTAAGATTTGGATTTGAACAAATGCCTGCAACGCACTTATAACGTGACCTGTCTGCTCAATTGCTCCCTTATATTTATAAGTATCTAGACGATCGAGCTTAGCTCTGTTTTGGTTTTTAGTAAACGACATTTTCTGAAAAGAAAACCAACTAGATCGATTTATTGCCCTCGACACCCCATAATTACAATATTTCAAGAAAACCGTTTAATCATTTTCTGAGATTGTTGATACATAAGAATTGCTCGTTTAAAGGTATTAGATAACACAGTTTTGCAACTAAATAATTATAAGTAAATGGGTATTCGAAAGCCTCTATTCAATAGAAGCAATAGTGTCTACTGCTAAGGAAAACTACAAAACTGCTTGCAAGAATCCAATAGCAATAAAAAAATAACAAAACATACTTCCTTTATATGTTCCAACTTGTTGTTACTTATTACTTACTATTATAAGTAATATAACATAACATCACGCCTTTTTATCCCTGTAGGAGTAGGTAGATGTGCACATTATGGCACTTAATGTCACTGTACAATATAACACCCACTTTTCACTATTTATGTTATGAGTCCCATGTAATAGGGATAGGGGGTGAGCCTATTGCCATATACCGGGCACATTTCCAGACTCCGTGCTACTACTGAGATTTTTAAAACCCAGTAATACTTTGCCCTTTTTATATACAAAGAATAATATTTGAATTTTACTGCGTTTCTTATAGGCTGCGTGTCGGTTCATAATCTCAATTTTATTAAAAGCTGGGCATCATTATTTAATTGACTGCGCGGTCGGCGCGGTGGCTTTCGATTCCCGCACGGAGTAACTCGTTGTGTGATTCACAAATTGTTCTTTCGGGTGTGGGTGTCATGTGTATGAACTTGTATGTTTGAAAACACGTCCACGGGACAGGAAACAATCCTAGTTTAAAAAAATGCTGTCTATGCCAATTTTGATCTTCTAAAATTGGCTGTTTTGCTTGAAATGGTTTCTTCGTCGATCTTAAGTAGCTCAAAACTCAAAAATGCTCTTTCTTTATCACCAGGCAGTAAAGCAGCGGGCGGTGTGTACACGAAGCATATATCACAGCTTCGTATACCCTTCGTGTATCAACTGCTGCCGCACCTCATGGATGACCCTCAGAGTCTGAGGCCAGCTTACCACATGAGTGGTGGCAGGTCCTTCTGCGAAATTGTGGTGGGAGTACCCACTGTTAAGCGCGACAAGGAAAGTTATCTGATGGTGACATTAACGGTAAGGATGGTTTTATTCTTATACTTTATTATTGTTGTGTATTAGATTTAAATTTGGATAGCATTATGATATACTTAAGTTAACATAGCATAAAATAATTTAAAGGTGCACAATTCAAATGGTACCCATTTTCACCAGTTACATTATAATGTTACGAGTCTCATGTATTAAGGAGTCAACCTAATTGTCATGCAATTAAACGAGAATTACCAAAATCTGAAAAAAAAAACAATGATCTTTATTAAAAAATATATTTGATTGAAGAAGAAACCATGGTACGCTCAATATAAGAGCCAATCAAGATTTTCGATTTAATTAAGTTAAAAAATAGATCAAAGGTCTTAGAAGTAGATCCTTTATTATTCTGATATGCAGTATGAAAGAAGATCAATAAATAGTTAATCATATCATAACGTACCATCCTCAGTTATGTTTAAATCCCAATAACCGAGTAATAACCGACAGATTTATAGAATTTCGAAACAGAAAATATCGCCACAACCTTTTTGTTAGTCTGTGTATTAGTGCCTACAATATCTTTAATTATAATGTAAGTGAGAACACATAAGCCGTACATTTGGATTGAGAAAAAGTCGCAAGCGTCGCGCACGGGCCACGTGGCGTGATCTGCGCCACCCTACGTATACTATGAGCAGTAGAATAGTGCACCTGGAGTGGCATAGGCTGGAATGGGCCCACGCATCTTGCAAGCGGGGGCTCAGCTGGAGCCGGCTGTGGCGGACAGACTGTGTGAGCCGGTGCGGGGTGCGATCCCTGAACCCACAGTGCTGACCTACTCAAGCTCAAACTCTCAGCATTTCCACGAATAAAGCTCGGACTCGACTTCATGCTTGATGACTTACCACGTGTACGGAGATTACGAAACTCCACGATTGTTAAACCCAGTAAATCAAAAATGGTTTATCTGGTTGCATTGTGGATACATTTTAGTTTTATTTAGTTTTAGATTAGTTATAGAAATCCCACCGTTGTAGATGTGATTTCTTAAACATAAGTCATATTGTAAATATAGTATTAAGTAACAGAAATCCCAGTGTTTTAGTTGGGATTTCTTAGTTTTAAGTTGTTCATAATTGTAATGTAAATAAAACACCACCAGCATCTCGTCACTGAGCTGACCCCAGCTGATGTGAACAACACCCTCATCGTGGTCATGGTTGGGGAAACGGAACTTGACTACGTGCTTCAAATTGCAAGGCAGATCGAAACTATGTAAGTACACGAAAATAAACATCTGAATGTTAAACCAGCCTCGACAAAGACATTCATTTAAAAAAAGAACGTTGCTTTCATTCCCATAAGCTGATAAATGCCACTGCACCACTATGTCTATATCATTAAACCCGTAGTGCTCTCACTTTTGAGTTCATTTTGACTCATCAGTGTGTTTAACTATAAATACGGAACATTAATATCTAACCAAACCAACTACTAAACCAGAGTTCTCAAATCTCCGTTTAGTGATTCTAAAGAATACATTTATTCATTACAATGTTGTACATGTTATTTCTTTTAGGTAAGCTCAGTTATGTTATTAGACAACTGTAGGTACTTAAACACAAGATACCAGAAAGTACATTCACTTGGCAGAGTTCTAAGCTTTTGCAGTAACGCATGGATAGCTTGATCCAGCAGCCACTAATACATGTGCCCGTCAAGTACAGTTATGGATTCGATTTCTTTGCTTAAAGGGATTTCTGTGACCAGTAAATAATGACAAAAAGTATCTAGATTAACATTTGATGTGTTTTCTTGACATTGTCTTACTCGATATTGCTGGACTTCGTCACTGTAGTGTCGTCTAGTTCTATGGAAAGAAATGCATAGCAACTACAAAACAAACCACAAAATAACAAAGTTTTCTCTTTCTTGAACAGGTTCCCAACCCAAGTGGGTAATGGATTGATCGAAGTTATATCACCACGAGATTCGTACTACCCAGACTTCGACAAACTTCCAGATACCCTAGGAGATTCTCACAAACGAGTCAAGTGGCGTTCGAAACAGAATTTAGATACCATCTTTTTAATGGCGTACGCCCAATCAAAGGGCACTTTTTACCTCATGGTTGAAGACGACATCATAGCCAAGAAAAACTACATCCAGGTGAATGATATTTCCATATTTTTGTAAAGTATAACAAATTCACTATCCGTACAATTTAATTGTGATTAAGACGCAATTCGTGAGCCTGTGGATGCGTCGCGATGGATGACTGTATGGCTTGCTTACCCAATGTACGGAGAGTAAATTTCCACGATCTCATGGCACAGTAAAATTACAAATATAATTTATTGGTCAGCCTCGTGGATACATTCATAAATAGTAGTTTTTAAATCACTTAACCAAGTTTTTGCCATACCACTTTATAATTTGTGATAAGACTAACTGTGCTACTCAGAGAAATTTAATGATTACTTAAACTATTCCTTAGTGACGATTTTGATTGTACGGTTGGCGTGTAGCGGGTTAGATTCCCGCACGGAGTAACTATTTGTGTAATCTACAAATTGTTTTTTCGGGTCTGGATGTCATGTGTGTTTATAAACGCACCCATAACACAGGAGAAAATACCAAAGAGCGACAATGTTTAAAAATACAATGCTAAGGACTGTGTAAAGTAGCCATTAAATGACGCTGAGTACGGCGGTAATACTACGAATGAACAGAAAATTTGTCACAAGCTTCTGCAATATCAGAAGAACAATATGAGAAGTTTTAAAGGATGACAATTAACCTTTAGCAAAAGACTATCTATACATATGTATATTCGGTACAAAATGTTGAGTTCAAAAGATTAACCTTAGTAATAGCACTCTGTTGTTACGTCTCTAGATGATTTAGAAGTTCCCTGAAGTCTTTATTTCATTGCAATTTCATTTCCCATTAACTCCTGTAAGAAGTTACACGGATATTGAAATCGTGAAAAGAGTACAACTAAATGAATTAAGTTGCTTATTTCGGTGTACTTGATTGCCAAATTGAATGTGATTTGTTTATCGAACAATATTAAAAGAATGTCGCTGGTATAAAAAACGTTGTAAAATGTGTTTATGCTATTTATTTAGTAGTTTTCTAAAGTAGTAATGGATAAAGTGGGGGACTTTGTTCAAACAAAATCGAAGACGACAAAAAGTATCTTATTTAGTCAAGCAGTTTTGGAGTTGTGCACGTACAATGTACAAACATTTATATGTAAAAATGGCCGTAATTCTACTTATTTAATGACTTTTTGTTTTTTTATCCACCAGATTATAAAGAAATTCATAGCCACAACCACCGTTTCCAATCCGAACTGGATCTTCATCGAATTCTGTCACATCGGGAACATTGGAAAACTGTTCCGATCGGCGGAGCTGATGAAATTCATCAACTATGCCCAGATTTTCTACAACAATCTCCCAATTGATTGGCTGCTCGAGAGTTATTTGGCGGACCGTGTCTGCAACCTGGAAAAGACTGCAGTAAGTGTATATACTTCATTGTTTATGTGCTAAAATTGCTTGTTTTCGAATATTCCTAAGAAAGATCTGTCTTAAAAATTTGTTACTTTTCTCTCTCAATCAACATCCAAATCTAGATTATGTTATCAAAATGCCTTTGACAGTTCTCTCGGTCTTTCTTATTGAATATTCGTTTGAGTGCTTAACCCCGTAGTCCCCTCAACTGTGAGTTGATGTAACTCATAAGTTAGTAAGAGATACGGCATATTAATCTCCAGATACCTACTAAACCAAAGATCTTCATATCTGCGTTTAGTGACAGCTGAGAATACATTCTACTCATTTTATTACTACGTTACGCTTTATTATTCTTCATTTAACCTTAAAGCCTTATCAATTTTTGAATGTTGCTACCGACAGTTTACTGATCCTTTCTACTTCTTTTTGTGTTAATTTCCAGAAAAAATGCGCAGCTGCCAAGGACAAAATTAGGCCAAAATTCAAGCCATCACTCTTCCAGCATATTGGTATCTATTCTTCATTGAAGGGGAAAATTCATAAAAGTGGAGTAAGTTGGAAATTATAATATTGTATTTGTTTTAATATTTATTTATGATCTCATTCGCATCTTTCATAAAACTGTCAGAAATCCTCGGCAAGCAGGATATGCACCAGACTCCGTATATTAGAATGCTAATAAATCTAAATATATCAAGAGTGGCATAGTCTGGACAATGCCTACTTGAGGATGTTTGCCTAGATATAGACAGATACAGACTCATTGCATGACCATAATCACAAATCACATGCGTACAAAAAACTGTTGGTTGAGCAAGTTGTTGCTTGCGATGATACTATACAATACAATGTACGTAGAGTAAATATGAATATACATATGTCCCGTTTATTGTATCCTAATAAAATTAAATAAATTTATTAGTCAGCGCTTTGTATCAGACTGATTTCTTGAATCTCCGGTTGTTCGGATTGGACAATACATTTTAGTTCTAAACGCCGATAAATAGTGCACCGATACCGATGTTGTTATACATCCTAAGTTAATTTTATGATATCATTAACACGATAGTAGCATTCCATAGCCCATCTGCTCATCATCAGTCAAATCAATAGCATCAAGCCAGTCTTTGTTTCCACAAGACCGACGCCAACCGAACACGGCAATCGAGCACTCCGTTATCAGCGTAAATGTAACCACGCACAATATTAGTTTAGAGAAACTGATGACGGAGTGCTCGTACTGATGAAATCAGTCTGAAATGGAATGGCTGTGAGAAGGCAAACGTGGATACATAAAAAAAATCTATTAGTAACGCAACAGTACATTGGATACGTTAACCAAGTTCTAAAATGCGATGTTCTTAATTTTACAGAACGTGAAATCCGGAGTGGCGCCAAAATTCTTCCCTCATACCGATAACCCGCCACTACGAACAATAAAAACAGACATCACCGAGCATAGTGCGCATTCCCTTCAGAAGGCCTACGCAGGTCAAACATTCTTCTGGGGTCAGAGGCCAAAGAAAGGAAACTTTGTAGAATTCTGGTTCGAGAGACCCATTGTTATGACACAGTAAGTAGTCAAAATTTTTAACTGTAAATATAGTTATCTAATATTATGTATTCTTTTACATTTATTGTGTACCTCATACTCATTTTCATTTCATTTTTGTTTATTTCATGTTTTTTTCGGTCTATCATCGTCGGTGACTCACTGTCAACGAAAATCTACGCTTGACATCTGCTGAGGTGGAAACTCTTTCATATCGGCCAAGGCGATGACCAATTTCTGTTTTGGTTAATTTTCAGTTGTTATAATATTGTTTCATTTTTATTGTTTTGTTTTTGTTCATAGTTTATGACGAATATTTTTTATTGCTTCCTAATTCATAATATTGTGCCCGTGATGACTAGCTTCGCACCACATACACATGACAACGACACATGTGTACGACATGATGAAATAACTAATCGCTCCATCTGAAATCATTATGAAAATAATACTTCGAAATATTTTCTATGTACTAGTAGTTTCATAACAATTTTTATGTTTTCAGCTACGTGTTCCGCAGCGGCAACCCAGACCACGTCCAAGATCTGTTCTACAACACGACCCTGGAGGTCTTAGCTGCCCGTAATCGTAGTAATTTCACTGTGATCGGTACTTTTGATGAGTTCGGTCTTGCCGAAGACGATCTCTCTATGGGTCCCATCACAGCCATTCGCCTAAGGGTGCACCGCAACAGTAGCTTCTGGGTCATTCTGAGTGAGGTAAGTTGCTTTGGATATCTTTTGTATTAGTCCATTACAGGAATCAAACTTTTTGCTCGACATTCATACTTACTAGTTGGCTAAGCACAGTATTATGACAACTATCAATTGAATCCCGATCTTCCAATGCATTTAAATAAATCCCTGTCCTTGACAAACGAGCAAACTGTTCGAAAGTGACAGATATAACCGTTCGCTCGACGGATTAGATGATTTGACATTCAAATAGTCTAGACTTGATATTAACTGTAGAGTCATTAGCATACACAACAGCACTCGTTATTAAGGTGCTATTGTTTTACAATCACGGTGAATTTTTAACGTCGTCTTTGACTCGTATAACGTTTACGTATAGATGTAAATATTAAATGGTCATTAGATTTTCTATTACATTTTTTCTCCTTTCATTCCTCTACGGTTTTGGTTGCAATTCTAGTCTTTCGAAAATCGACATAAATAACCTTACGCCTGTCTCCCAAGGGGTTAGACATAGACTACGGAACGCCGATTGCTACGATTTGTACATACCTTTTTCGCTTCCTCAACAGTCATCAGTCTTTTCATGCATGTTCGTCAGTTAAGGGTACTTTTAACTTTGCCCTTCTTTAATATATCGACGATCTGGTCTATATATGGTCGAAAATCGAAAATATCAATAGTCCATATTTGAAACTCTGCTTGGTCTAACTCAAACAACATATCGCATAATAAGGTCTCACTAGTTGTTTTTTTTAATTCCAGATCCAAATAAAGGTAGGCCCAGCACCAGAGGCTAGGTGACAGATAACCAACACATTCTGGGACCGCATTCTACGAAACCTAGTTCGAGCACCGATGATGTGAAGCGGTACAAGGTAGGAGCGGCCTGTTTTAACTGACATTTTGACATTTTCGTGTATCGAATATTGTAATCTCATGTAATCAAATAATAGGATATGTGACCTGTAGGAGTTTAGCGAATACTTTGGACATGGTACTACAGCTATGGTTCTCCTTTAGACGTGGACGACTCTGAATTTACCAATCGGTTTTCATGCACATACTATCAACGTAATGCAAGATTCGTAAGTCTGTTTAAAACTTATATTGTATCAATTAGACGCTTGAAAATAGTTTTAGCTAGTATCTACATTATTCGAGAAAAATCGATCGTCTTCCATGGTCGTGAGTGTAACTTGTAACGTTACGCTTTCGTTCGTAGAATAGTAACCATTTACTAATTAAACATCCCTGTAAAATAATCTCGTCAATCCTCTTTACCTTTGTCGGTTAAACTCAACCATAGTGTTAGATTGGCAACCATTATTCTGTACATTTCTATTGCGAGGGAACTTTGTTGTCTCACTCTTGAGAACCCCATTTCATTACACCAACGTAAGGACAGATGTCACTTAATACTAGTTCCAAGTCTCCCTTAACTAAATTTGACAAATGCCAATTATATTTAGAACAGTATTTAATCATAGGTTAGGATACTTTTCTTAACTTCAATCACTATCACCTCTACACTTGTACCATAGATTTTCGCATCAAATTTTTGACTTTTAAAACAGTACTTAATAACTTGAATAATTCATATAAACATCAAAACACCTCTACTATAGGCACATCATGACTCTGATTACACCGTCGTCACATGGATCATCATCATGGAGATCGAGAGAAATAATTAAAACTAGTACTAAGTAATAATTATTGTTATTTAATGTACAAAAGCAAAGACAAAAAGTGAGCGCCTTAGAGTAGAGGATTTGATGTCGCGCCGCCGAGCGCTCAGTGTACAGTTTGTTGGTTTTCAACCGAGTTGGTAACAAGTTCCTAGCCTGAATGCTGTTACGCGAAGAAAAATAATTCCGCGATGAAAGAGTATCCACATTTTCTTGTTTCGTTCATCATCTTACTAGAGAATCCTTGCTTAGTTTCGTCTGAGCTGACCTACCTGACGACTGAATGCAATTCTGAAGACTTCCCATCCAATTTTTGGAATGATACACTTAATCAAATTCTAGAAATGAACACTTGTCATTGTCATAATAACAATAACCTTATATACACATTTCAATCATGTAGTACTCAAAATGGGCGTCAATCTACTGATCCCATAACGCAACATCTAAAAGTAAACAGAACCTTTTTTATAAAAACCTTCATCTTACCAAACTATTAAAAAAAATACCACAAATAAAACCAAAATTTTTTTGGGTTTTACACAAGAACTTTCTAAATATACAATACAGTTACGGTTCGTGTTTCCAATACTTCAAACACGTTTTGTAAGTACGTTAAATTTCATCAACAGAAACTCTCCAATAGGGGTTGACATAAGTCACTCGCAGAGGATCCATTTGAAAATTCATCTTCCCGTCTCAATGGAGAAGAAAATATAAAAAAAAAATGTTTAAAGAAAAAATAGTGAACCGGGTATGGTATTCCCAAAGATCGGAAATTGAAGTGTCCTTATCGATGCCGATTCGGAGTCGCGGAGAACCTAACGGGTAACCGGGGCTCCGGCTCGACGTGCAGGAGAAGGAACGGGGTGGTTTTTAGTCAGTAAGAGTCTGACACTCCCTTCTGCCTCACCCAGGCGGAAGCAGTAATTCGATGATTTTCCCCCCTTAAAAAAAGACCCTCTGATAAAACCCTGGCAGACAAGTTAGGTGATTGTACCAGACACCATATACAATTGGCGATTTTCTTTTCTTGACCATTATCTTGAGATTGCATCTAATATCTCGTCTGTTTCTAGATACTAATGTTTCATCATCGAGTATTTTGGTTTTGAAATTTAACGTACTGCTCGTGGGTAGGGTGGGAGGTGGGGTATCGGAAATCCGAACCGTAATACCCTGTATATAAAGTATAAAGTAGCGTCATTTCCGATTAAGAAAGCATCGGTTCGTTTAGGTAGATTACGAAAAATCCACAACATTTGTTCATGCTTAAGTAGTCTCTAAAGAACAGAAATAAGGTGTATAATAATGGAGTAAGTGGAGAGCGGTCACTGGTGATCGCTTGGGGACTGGGCAGGTAGAAGTCTACTTACATCTTCTTCGTTTTGGCCCCAGGTGAAGAGGATTTAACAACAATTGTTAAGTTTCCAACGAATACCGTTATATATTTATTGAGAAGTTTTTTTTTGTTGATCCACTGCTGTAATAGTCACTTATAACGTGAGTACGGACAATACAATAATTTGACGTCAGTCGTAACTTGTTTTCCATATTATTGAAGGTTCAAAAGAGTTGGTAGGTATTTGTAGAGGTTATATTTCGTATAGTTACTTGTAATATGTTCATTTATATTTCGCAAATCAACGAATGTTCGATAACCATTGTAATTATATAGGTGTTATATGAGTTTACGTATTATGTTTGATGTGTGAAAGAAGATTGAACGAATGTGATGTCAATAGAACCTAACTACATAGCTTATTTAGCACAATAGATTTCATAACATACACCTGTTAATCATATATAAATAAAATTACGATAAATACTATACGATACATAAAGACGAACGATAAATAAAAATACAAATAAAAAAGGTATGATTGCTATATTTATACTGGTGTATAAAGTATCGGAATAATCATGAAAATTAATATTCATACGTAGTTTTTATTCGCACTTACATTTATAAAATCTTATACATAATAATATAATAATAAAATAAATAAATAATTAAGTATAAATGTACCAAAAAATATAAAAATATAATCCAGAAAAAAAATACAAAAATTATAAGAAAACACAAAAAAACGTAGAATTGTAGAATAGATGGAAAATAAAATCGTAAAATATAGGTACATATTTAAGTATTTACTTAATTTTGGAAATGTAAATAATGCGCCAAATTGAGAGTGATATTAGGATTAAATATTATGCTTTAGAGTTTTATAACTCAAGCAATATAATACATATAAAATAATATATCTAATTATTATAATAATGTACATAATATAATAAAAAAGCTTCAATAATTTAATTATTATTAATCGTTCATTATAACCAGAATGCCTAATTAAATAAAAATATAAAATATATTTTTATATAAAAAATAAAACTAAAAAAAGGTACTACAACTTTATTAACTTTATACTTCTATTTATATTATATTATTATTACATAGTTTCATTAGTAGGTACCTATCTGTAGTTCAATATAATATCTCTTACTTCTTTAAGAAACAAATAATGTTACAATTTAATCTTACCATTATATATAAATATATTTATACGGTATAATTATAATTGTAGGTATATAACTGTAATCTAAAAAAGAACAATGCTAAAAATGTATAGATAGGGTTTCCACCTATATATCACTTATTTTGGGCCATTATTTGATAGCAATTTGGACCACTTTGGAGCCTCAACACAAACAAAAACCTGCTGTAAGCTTGACCTGTAGCTGTCTCGATTCTAAGAAATATCTACAATAGCAGTTTGAAAATCTACCAACGTTATTATACCGAACACATATTAAAAATACAAAATAATCCAGTACTTATATTTATGCCTGACCAGGAAACTGGACATGTAATATTAAAGCCTTTGCGCGGCAGTAGCATTTGTCATAATAGTTTAGTTTAATCATGACACCATTGTTATGCACCTAACTGTTCTTCATAGGAAGAAAAATATGAAGAAAATATAGTTTCTTACAAAACATTGTAATCATGATATTTTGAATCAGCTACAATAACTGCAAGTTTGATGTAACTTTATTCGATACTGAAATACACTTATCTTATATACAAAAAAAAATATAATTTCCGTTCGTTAGTCTCGCTAAAACTCAAGAACAGCTGGACGAATTTGGCAAATTTTAAAATTAGGCGGAACGAAGTTTCCCGGGGCAGCTCGTAAAATATCTTAAGGTCATCATATAAAAAATTAAAGCGATATAAAGGTGGAGATAACTATTATTATTGTTAGCATTGTTTTAGTTTTAATATGTATAATAAAAATTATTGGACAAAGTGACCCCACTAACCGTATCTGCGTAGCTGTAAATAATTAAAATAATATATATAATAAATAATTAAAAATAATATGAAATAATTAAAAATAATATAAAATAATTAAAAATAATTATAATAATTAATTACTTAAGTATTAAAACCAAGCAAAGGATCGCAAATCACGATGCCCTGAAAATAATACTCTACGTAATACAATATTATTGAATACATTACGCATTGAAATTACCAAAAGAATTTGTGTTCTCGAATATTCAAAAAATTACATATTAGATGTATGTAAGATGAAATTTACTTGAATACTGTACAGTTTTGTACAGTTTAGGCCTCGTACACATCGGAATTTCAACTGCAAAAACATGAGTTTTTTTCAATACACCATGAAGTCTATTTCGTTTTCGTCCCGCGGCAAAACAAAGCCTTAAGGAGTATTTTCGATGTGTAAAGTAAAACCAAGAAATAAATATGTCTATTTTATGTCTCAAACATTTTTCTAAATTTCATTATTCATTTTTCATTATTGGCATCGCACGTGACACTCGACGAGAAATACCTTCTCGAGAATTACATGGCGTAATGTGTTGGTAATGTTCTAAGAGTTCGTATGCGATTTCGATGTTTGCTTACTGCAATGGTCCACTAGTTATTTTTTGTTTTAAACATATTATTTCTTTGTAAAACTATTGGATTATCAAGACAAAACCATTTTACTTCGAGACGAAAACAAAATAGATCTCACGGTGTATAGTTTCATAATTAAACATCTATCTCTAATTCTCTATATTCCATGTTTAACAAGT